TGGATGCTCTGAGTGCTCTGGCCGCATGATTTCACACTTGTCTCCCACTTGTCTCCCAGTAAGCTCTGGATGCTCTGAGTCACAACCTGGATCCATAAATTTCATGTTTTAGCCCCTGTACGGCGTCCCATTCTAAAGTCAATGAAAAACATAATTTTAATGCTTTCCCTTTGAATCTTGTATGTGCGTCTACATGGTGGACTACAGTTTTCTTCCTCTAGGAAATACTGCTGGCCATATTGTTCGGAGATCTCATTTTTGAACATTGCTCTGTTTGGGGTCTACACTGGTATAATTAAGCGTCCACGACGGATGCCATCGGCCCCTCTCAACCCAGAACACACCCCTACTCCACACCTTGCGAGTACACGGTACATGTGATTAAACAAGCATTCTCAGACTGCTAATTTCAACATGATGGCCGGTGGTCGCAGAAGATTGAGAAGCTGCAATGGTTGGTGGTAAAGTTGATTGTAACGATGCATGCAAATGGATGAGCCAAAAGGGCCCCAAAAAACAAAAGAAGAGGACTGTGAGACCAAGGCGGAGGCAGTGACCCTCGGGTACCAGGCGTTGGCAATGGGGAAGTAACCCCGTGTTGGCAACCCGTGGCTGATGGCAGGGAGCGCTGCTTACACACATACCACCGGCCGCCCTTCCTCAAGGTTCGTGACTGTCCGGACTGTCCGTTGGTCGCAAACAGATCACTCAGACTGTACATCGCGAACGTGAATCTTGCTTCGCAGGCCCACGGTGGACACAAGTACATCAAGCACTACAAGAATGCCCGAGGCCAAACGTGGATGCTTAGCTTTGAAGTTACTGTTGCGACCGTGGTAGATTTTTCAATCATTCTTGCGATTTGGGCGTCGTAGCTGTCATTCGGATCTCAATGCAGTCCACCTCGCGAGCGCCTGCGCCAGCTGGCTAGAGACTCAAGTCTTTGGAGTGGCTGGCGTGGTAGGTTGCGAACAAGTGCCAAGGCTGTCCCTGCCGCTCAGCTTGGCTAGGTGATGGTGCGCCACGGGCAATCCATGTGTCTGAACTTGACATGAGAGACACTAATGTAGTCCCTTGATTAATAAACCCAACCAGTTGAATATTGGAAATTCTCTTTATAAGGGGGTCTTATTAATCAAGAGTCTACATTACTATATTTCCGACTGTGGAATGTGTGCAGGTTTTTGTGACGACATTTGCAACAGCGAGGCCTCACTGCAACTCATTGCTCGGCAAAGTTTTTTTCTTTTCCTCAAGTTGGTGTTGCAACGTTAGTTCAATCAAGCTTGGCTTCAGGGCAACAGATTAGGTACGCCATGTGTTGTTCTTTCATCGATTGGAGCTGCCTGGTTCTCTGTCAGGTGTGCGGTTGGGACAGAGGTGATTGTGGTCTGCGACCGAGAGAGAAGGTCGCCGATGTCGGACCTGTCGGTCGGCGACCGGACCTGTTTTGCTGAATTGCCGCTGCGAGCCCGTGCGCTTAGGATCCAGTGGAGCTTCGTTGCTGCCTGAGCTGGGCCAGCTGTGCATGCCTTTGCGGTGGAGCCGTCGACATGTCTTTCCACCGATTTTCACCCTTCAAGACTGCATCTGGAGCCATTTGACTTCGCGATGCAAGCTGAAACGGCTAGCTATGACAGACCACCTACCACACAAGAGTGGCCCACCGTCAACCTAAAAGTTCCAGCATCACCCCGTTGACCCTCGAGACAGAACTAGCTCTCATGTGCTCTCATGCCGTGGCCACAAGAGTTCACAGTACCTCAACTGCATCTGGAATCTGGACCTCAACGGAATCATGCAGATGGAGCTATGGCAGTCGAGTCGGCGGCTTTGAAGTTGGACATCGGACATCGTTCTTCTTGCTGTAGCAAGGGGCAATGAAGCACCATCAAAGATATTGTTCAAGGTTTTTTCTTTCTGTATTCCAGTAGGTACTGTTGTATTGGCAAACTTGTGTTTGAAGGACATCCTGCAATTGTGTTAAGGCCGTGGGCCGCTCTGGCCGACGTCGCGGACGAGGCATTTTACATCCGCAACATGACCCGGCTTTCGATGGCCGACCGACCTATTGCTGCAAGGATGACCAGTCGCTCTCTGAGGATGAAGGACTGACACGTTAGCAAGAGAAGTGGGGCTTCTGTTGTTTGGTTCTTGAACCTATTGGTGGCACTGTCACATAGCTGATCATAATATGAATCATAGCTGTTTCAGAGTAAGAAGCCACTGCGAAACGGTGTCCTTTTCTTCACGACAGGGCCAAAGAGCCACAGGGATGCACAGCAGTGATGGATTGCTAAGGAGATGGAAGCCATGCTTCTCGTGAAGTCTGGGAGCACAGAGCTGAGGAGTCCTGCCTGCACAAATTCAATGGTTGAAGTGTTCGTAAAAACGAACATGGACTCCAAGACTCCCTTGATGCTGTGTTTTTTCGTTCAGTTCAGCCTGTCAAACTTGCAAGCTTCGCCTGGCCTTTTTGGATCAAGCTGTCGCAGAGAAGGCAGCACTTTCTCAAACGCTCGACGACTGCTGTGCGGTGAAGGCTTTCGATGCCATGGGAGTGGTTGAATGTCCAAAGGTTTAGGAGTTTAGGACAATTATATAAGCCATCCAGTGATAAACTGGAGTAGAACGGATGATGATCAAGCCTTAGTAGGCTTTGACCTCATCCATGATTTGCCCTTGTTTCTCTGAAATTGGACAGGCCGCAGCTCAGCATTGGAAGCATGTCTGTCCAAGAAGTTGCAGGAGCGTTGGAACTCGCGCAGTGTCCTTGGGCTTTTTGTTCTTATTTACTCCTACAATTTCAGTTCTCGTGAAGCGGCCGAGGTTCAATGGCCTCAGTGAGTACTACGGCTTCGAACTAAGCTCCAACGGACCGATGTGCGTACTGCAGCCTTTGAGTGAAACAAAACTAATAGTGAGTCATGCCGCAAGAATCACCCAAGGTGCCATAGCCAAAGACCCCAAAACTCCAGAAAAAGAGAAGGAAGCATGCTTGGCGTTTGTTGACGCAGAGAGCAGGCTCGATAAAGAGGACAGCTGATTCTGGATTCTGGCTCCTCCGGCATTTGTAGTCGCAAGCCCTGCTTGTGTGAACCTCAGGATGTTGAAGGATGCCTGTCTTTGTCAAAAGGAGCCGTGCAGAAGTTCGAGGCGCGTGATTGATGGTGACCAGGACCTGCTAGGACCTCCTAGGATTTTGTTTGTTGTCCCCAGGCGATCAAGCACCCCACAGGTGTTGCAGACACCTTGCGCATCTTGGCACGTGATGTGTTAGCTTTAGCAGCTGCCTCACTTCCCCCTCGGCCAAGGAATGATGGTGTTAGCTTACCGAATCCAAGCCGATGTGCTTCGGAGCGCAGAGGAAGACAAGTCAAAAGACATCAAGGCAAGCCATAGCAATGCATGTGGGTGGATGTTAGCTCATATACTTGCTCAGTTCAGTCACAATTCACAATGGCAGCACATTCAGAATCGGCCACACCTTCGGAATTGTGCTGCGCCACCTGGCACTTTTTAACTGTTCGACTGCAGGCAGCTCTGAGCACTGCAGAGGGCCTTGCCCGGGAGCACACCGCAAAGTTCAATGCTTCTGGGGACAAGCGTAGTGAGGCAGTGCTGCTGCTGGCGGCAGGAGAGATCAACTACAACAAACGAGGTGCCAACCGCTATCATGATGATGCTGAGTTCACCCTCACAACTTTTCTTGTTGGCTATTTCATTCGTAGTGGGGGATGCACCCACTAGTGCATCCATGCTTTCATTCAGCTATGTGTTCTGCTTGCTCCATTCCTGCCTTGGCTACTTCATTCGCTCACCACATTCTTACCGAGTTTAGGTGAGGCACTCAGGGTATCAAGTTCTAAAGACAGCACTACTTATTGAGAGTAACTGTATGGTGGTAATGACGTCCAAGATCTCAACCATTGAAGTCTAGCAAGCAGCATTCTAGTTGATCAGAGTAGGAGATGCAGTGATACCTGCACAATCTGGAAAATGCAAACACACTTAGATTGTTGCTCGCAAGAGCTAGGATCAGTACGAAGTTCCCCTTGACTTGAAGAACCGAAGGAAGTGCAAACCGCAAGGTGGTAAAGTCAGTGAACTTGTAGGTGTTGAACACAGTTGGGTAATGCATTAGCGGCTTACTGCAAAAAACACAGGATTGGACAGCTTGTCAACAGTTGAAAAATTAGAGCAGGTACGTGGAATCTGCGTCCAGATTGCATATCACAGCAAACTTGAAGTGTCTTCGTTGAGCGGTGACTTCAAGAATGCCCACCGCCCCCCTGCTACATTGAAGTAAGACCGAGCGAAGAAATTCACAAAGTTGTCTAAAGAAGAGTATCGTGGGAAGGAGTTGAAATCCTTGGAAACAGGCGTTGACACACACACACACAGAGGGCCGCATTCGGCGCACTCTGTACGGGGAGATTTGGAAAGACCGCAAGGAAACAAAGAGGATTGATACGCAAGCTTTTTTGTAGTGCTTGCCGACAGCTGCGAAGATCATGTCCTTTTTGGACGTAGAGGTCTGCTAGCTGAGCGAGCGCTCGCTCAACAGCCGAGGACGGGTAGGTGTACTTGCGGATGAGGTGGGCGCGAGAATGTAGACCTGAAAGTTGTAGTCGTGCTGATCCAGCTGAGGCATGATCGCGTATTTTCCATGGAGCATCAGGTGGGATGTAGGAAATAGTCCGTTGGTGAAGGTCCACATCAAATCCAAGTAGGTGCATGTCCCCCACCGGTTCAAGCTCCATTGGGTTGCTGTAGAAGTCCGGGTGGATCAATGTCTGGATGGCAAGGTGCTTGAGAAAAGTGCGGTTGAAGGCGGTGAAGCGATTGTCCACGTAGCGATAGTAGACGAAGTGACTCTCGGTGTGGTCCGTTAAGGAATGGTGGAGTTGATGCCAAGAGTGCTCGATGAGGGTGATGGCGACATTGCACAGGGCTTCAGTGTAGGGGTTGGGGGGCCGTCGAAGAGGCTCAACGGGTTCCTTCCGTGTACTGGTGGCCACATGGATGCCCTTAGGGCGTGAGGTGTTGGCGGAGTCCGGGGTGGAGCTGGAGGCCATTGTGTCTGAATGTTGAGGATTGGGAGTGAGACGAATGTTGGAGCGGTGAGGGGGGCGGGACCGAGTCCTGGTGTTGTAACTGGTCAAGGGAGACGTTGCCCAAAGACCGCGCTTGGGTGGGGGATTTGCTGGCGGTTGAGGTCGGGTGACTGGACGAGGTTTGGGCTGGGGGCTGGGCGAGGGGCTGCTGAGGTCGTGGTGGTAGTGGTGGTCAATCGCTGACGGACGGTGGCCTTGGGCACGGGTGGTGTGGGGGCCGCAAGTGAGGGTTGTGTGGGTTGTGTGGAAGGGGGATGTGGCGAGGGACAGTAATGTTGATTGGTGGTGGTCGTGAAGAGGTGGTGTCCTGGGTAGAGGGTGTAGCCGCCGCGGGTGTGGAGGTAGCGGTGGGGGCAGTGGAGGAGGTGTGAGCTTGAGTCTGAGTGGCATCAGTGGTGCCCGTGGGTGTTGGTGCGTCCTGGGATGTGCCCGGTAGAAGAGCCTGAGACGGCGACGAGGTAGTCGTTGGCGGTGTAGGGGGATGGGCCGGGGGCTGTCCGATGGGGGGCTGCTGGTACAGTTGGAGTGGGAACGGCGGTTGGTGGATAGGCAATGGTAGGGAGTTGACTTGGGTGTACGGGTGTGGATTGAGGATGTTCGGTAGGAATTGCACTGGGAACAGCCGCCGGTGGGGATGTTGGCCAATAAGACTGCGGGGCGACGATCAGAGTTTGGGGATTCCAAGTGGGAGCTGGTTCTGGTTGGGGGGGATGGATGTAGGGTGTGGAAGGCGGAGGGGATCTGAACGATCTGTGCATTGGGCATAGTACTCATTTGAGATGTCAAACTCGTTGGGGGTAAAGTGGATGCATACTGAAGTTGTGGGTGCTGTAGAACCGGCTGAATCTGAGGCACAGGGATCTGCATGGTCGGAAAGGTTCCATACGGAGTCGATGGTGCCACCAAGGAGGTCGGTTGTGACATAGGGCCATACGATGTCGGGGCATTCGTCATCGGGGTGGATTGAGGAACCCACTGGTAGTTCATGGCGTCGCAGTGAAAGGCCGTAGAGGGGTGCTGAGCGATGTGAAAAGTGCAAGCGCATGAACCTCGTACCGTGCCTGGAGTATCAGCCTGCATCCTGCCTATGATCCCTTAGTCGGACAATCTGTACAAGTGATTACTTAGACGCATGTTCCCATGGTAAGGCAAATCCAGAATTCGGATCTCAGTGAGCCCTGCGGCATAGTATCAGTGGTATCGAGCAATGACAGCAAATCAGAAGGAATCGAACGAAATGCCAAGGTGGAAGCAATCCCCCAGAATCTGGGTTTGTGCACATGCAGCGCCCCTTGACGGGGATCACACCGCAGCCCTCAGTGGGGCCCTGTGGCGAAAACACACTTAGATTGTCGCTCGCAAGAGCTAGGATCAGTACGAAGTTCCCCTTGACTTGAAGAACCGAAGGAAGTGCAAACCGCAAGGTGGTAAAGTCAGTGAACTTGTAGGTGTTGAACACAGTTGGGTAATGCATTAGCGGCTTACTGCAAAAACACAGGATTGGACAGCTTGTCAACAGTTGAAAAATTAGAGCAGGCACGTGCAATCTGCGTCCAGATTGCATATCACAGCAAACTTGAAGTGCCTTCGTTGAGCGGTGACTTCAAGAATGCCCACCGCTCCCCTGCTACATTGAAGTAAGACCGAGCGAAGAAATTCACAAAGTTGTCTAAAGAAGAGTATCGTGGGAAGGAGTTGAAATCCTTGGAAACAGGCGTTGACACGCACACACACACTTAGACAACGGGTTTGCAGTTACATCAATTCTCCGAGGAAATGAATGAGGGAACGGAAAGGTGGCAAAGTCCGCGGAAAAGAAAAGTTGAACATTGTTTGCAAGTGCGCTCGAAAACGATCTGACACGCAGCGCGGCTGCAAAGCGGCTGCAAAGCGGCGGTGGGGAGAGGGTTTGTGGGAAGCATCATGAAACCACCATGGAAACAAACAAGGAAAGATTGGAGTAACAGCTTGTGAAAAAATTCCGCAGGTACACAGCCAGATGTCTCTGACTGCTTCCCTCGACACACCATAGCTTCGTTGCGTCAGGTAGGTGTGTCGAGCCTGACGCCCCTGCTTGTGGAAAACTCTTAGAAACAGAGTGTGACACACACACACACTCGGCCGCTTTGCGGCGCTCTCGCGGAGGACCTAAATAGGCGCCTAAAAAGCCTTAGAAACAAGAGAAAGAAAACCAGGAAGAGCAGCGCTAAAAGGGCAAGAGAGAAAGATAG